AAGATCTGCAAAATTTAAAGTTCAGTTCAGGTTCAATTGAACTTGAACCTGAACCTAAATTGAACTGAACTAAACTTTGGAACACTAAGTAATACATTGCAGCCTGTACCAGTTATTTTGATTTTATTCATAAGTCTAGTACTTTTACAAAGAACATACCTGCAAATAGTATTAATATATACTTGGTTATAGAATATAATATACAAGATGTATCAGTTAAAATTATTAAATACTATTTATAAAAAGATTATGATAGAATACTTATTAATATTTTGAATAATAGATTAAATTCAATAGTTTCAAAGTAACAACTAGTATTCTATATACTTAGTATATAGATTGATTTGGAGCTTTAAAACAAATAGACAATAAATTAAAGTAGCTATGAATTAGATTAGTATCATAAAAAATAAAAAAATAAAAAAATAAAAAAATAAATAATATATAATGTTACATATCTTCAATTAAAAGATATAAATTAATTGATTGCTATATACCTATATGATAATTAACTGGAATTAGAATCTTAGATTGTATACTTAAGAAAACAATATAGTAATAGATAGATAATGCAGGAATTAGTAATGGAAATATAAATCAAAGTATAATGAATAGGGTATATACAAAATATATTATAGTTTAATTAAAAAGACAAAATAGCATGATTAAATTATTAAAAGTTAAAGTAGTATGATCAATGCATAATGTAATTAGTGATAGTTAAAATTTGTATTTAAGAAATATGAAAATAAAGAATTAATTAGTGCTTTTACTTTTGAAATATAATGTTTAACTTGAAATAAATAAAATACTTATTCAAGTTGCTTATACAAGATATTGCAGTAGTTGTTGTTGGTAAGGTGCTTATCATTAGAATTAGATTTTTAGTGATAAAGTTACTTATTAATCTATAATATGAGAACCTAAACAAGTTTATCAGTTACTTTCTAAGAAAATTAAATTCTGTTAAATTAGTAAAGTTGAAAGACAAAGTGATACTTAAACAAAAGTAGAAGTATCTTTAATACAATAATAAAAATACTTAATACTAAAAATAGATTAAACAATTTTAACAGCAATTCATCAAAAAAAAGAGAAACAAGCAAAAATTTAAGTTATTTTATATTAAAATAGTTAAATTAATAAAAGCTGAAGTTATACTATTTAATATTAAATTAAAATATTGAATAAATAAATAAAAAACAAGTCAGATTAAAAGTAATTATATATACCTAATCATTTATTATTCTAATATTTTTGCTAATACTAATATAAGCTAATAGTCAAGAATCTAACTAAACTATTTTTTATAGTAAAGACAAGGTTGATATTGATTGATTTCTTTTTGATTATAAAAGATATGCAAAGTAGAAAGTTTAAAACAAAGATATCAAGTATAAAATAGTTATCATATATATATCAAAGAAATCAAGCTATAGATTCAAGAGTTAATAAAGATAAAAACCTAGTAGACAGATCTAAAAAATAAAATCATAAAAGCAATAAATGCTAAAAATAATAATAAGATCAAGATAAACTAGTTATAAAATATACAATAAGATAAAAAAGAAATAGCAAAAGTTATACAAGTGATTTGATTTTATATTGATATATTAAAAGAAAAAATAAGAAGTTACAAGCAATAAAATTGGTTCTTAAACAGACTATAAGAACTATATTAATATAAAGTAAAAGCTTTTGTTCTAATTTTATACTAAGACTAAGGATTATACACTTTAAATCAAGAACTTCTAAAAGGATAAAAAATACAGCAATAATAGAAAAAGTTTACCTGTATTAAAAAAAAAACTCTAACTAAATAATCCTGAGGTCAATAATATAATGTATACTTGAGATATTAACAATTAATCTTATAAAGCATAATATAAATAATATTAGTAAAATTAATAAAATAGAATCTAATATAAAAGAATTAGCAAAGATAGTTAAAGAATTTACTATTAATACTGCATTATTATGGTTTAAACCAAGAAACTCAGGTATATTATGAAGCATTAGGACCTAGAGATAAAACTCAAAACTACAATAATATTTTAGTTATTAATAAAAAGACCACATCTCTTACAACTGCCCAAACTAGAGTTTACAAAATCTACTAGTTAAACAGAAAAATGAACAAGAAAATATAAGAAATAAAACTATTGAAGTAAGATGAGCAAATATTCAATACTATAAAATAACTTTAGAAGCAAATACTTATAGAATTAAATATCTAAAAATTGAAGTAGTTGAAGGAGAACTCATATTTGAAGTAAAAATTAAAACTTTTGTAAAAAATAATAGATTGATGAGAATAGAAAAACTTTAGTACATAGTAATGAAAGAGAAGAGAAAAAACAAATTTAATAAAACTAAAGCCAATATTGTAAAACTATAGTACAATCTAGTTATATGTATATTATATATCATTTTACAATTCTTGTTAGTTTTAAAATAACACATATTAATTTAAAATTGCAATTTAATATATAACAAATAATAATCAGTATAGCAATATATCAACTACACATATAAAATTTTAAAAAATTAAAATAAATAAAAAAATTAATTATATATTAATTACTAGTAATTAAATAGACAAAAAAATAAATTATATATCAAAACATCAAATATATTTATACAATAAGGGTAGCTGCACAGTATGTGACATGGTGCAGGACCAGTACGATCATATTATTTTGTTAATATCTATATTAGATTTTGTAATTTTTATTTTTAATTAGTTGTTTTATATTCTTAATTGTTTACTTAATTGTCTTGATCAAGATGATTAATTTTTTATTTTTTTTTTCACGAAATTGTTTTTGTATAATAGTTTTTTTGCATTTTTGTGTGATATGATTATAGTAATTCGAAGTTGGTATTTGTATCATTTTGTATATAAGTTCGTTAAGTATTTTTTTTTATATGCACTTTTTTTTTAGTATTTTGTATTCATTAAATTTTTAATTTTGATATATTTATATATGCATGTTAATAAAAAAAAACAAGATAAAAAAAAGTAAATGTAATTTATACTAAAGTGTTTAGAATTGTTAAGTCCTATATCATTATATATTTTATTAGCATATTTTAATATAAGTTTTACATTGTAAATTTATATTTTCAATATAAATGTTTAAACTTGTAATTAATATTTTTTCATTGTAATCTGTATTTTTAGATAATTCAGTTTATCTTCTGGTATTATGAACTGTTGGTTGGATTACTTTTTCCTTGTCTTTGTTTAGCTTTTCACAATCATGTATAGACTTTTTATTATCATTGTTATTAATCTCTTTATATTCATTATTCTTGTTTATGTCTTCGTTGTTATATTCATTTATACATTCTTTATATAAGTCATTATCTTCAATGTTATCATTTTCTATTATTGTTTGTCTCATTGAATCAGAATTCTTTATACTTAAATTGGTTACAGATTCACTTTTTTTATTATTCGAGATCAAATTTGTAGTTTCAGAGATTTTAGAAGTATTTTTATTAATATTTTAGTGTGCTGTTAAAAGTTTTGAACAAACAAACCTGTATAATTTTGTTGTTATTTGAGAATTTCCTGTTTCGTAGGTTTTCTTTTATTTCATAATTGATATTGATATATAAAATATTGACTACATATATATACAGGTCCTTTTCAATGACTTCCATCTGATCTATGATAAATAGTATTGACTCAGTTGATCAAGTAGAATTCATTAGATGTTTGAATGTATATTATGGTAAGGAAATATAATTTTAACAGTGAAGCTATAATTTTGTCTAGCATGAAATTATTTAATAATAACAATGCATAATCTCAAGACAATAATACTAATGCTAACTCTAAAATGCAAAATTTCTGTAAAAAACTCATATAATCTCATTTGAACCAAACAAAGCAATCCATACAATCCATACAATCACTATATTTATATTAGATAAATTATTTCTAATATTGTAATAACAACACATAATCTCAAGACAATAATACTCAAAGCTAACTCTGAAATACAAAATTTTTGTAAAAACTCCCATAACCTCATTTAAACCAAACAAAGCAATCTATACAATCTATATAATCACTATATTTATATTGGATAAATTATTCCTAATATTGTAATAATAATACATAATTTCAAAACCATAATACTCAAAGCTAACTCTGAAATACAAAATTTCTGTAAAAACTTCCATAACCTCATTTGGACCAAACAAAGCAATTCATACAATCTATATAATCACTATATTTATATTGAATAAATTATTCTTAATGTTGTAATAATAATATATAATCTCAAGATGATAATACTCAAAGCTAACTCTTAAATGCAAAATTTCTGTAAAAACTCCAATAACCTCATTTGAACCAAACAAAGCAATTTATACAATCTATATAATCACTATATTTATATTAGATAAATTATTCCTAATGTTATAATAAACTAGAAATTTAATTCAATTAGAAATGTCATAATTTATACAACAAATTACAATATTGCATTCATATGAAGAATGCCAAAATCTTAAAATACACGTGCTCATATTATAAAACTATATTCAATAATAAAAAAAAACAAAATCTTTACAAATTTACAATATTTTTTATTGAGAATAATTCAAATTGCATGAATAAATATATTATAATAATAAAGAATAAACTATTTTATTTAGATTACAACTAAAAACTTATCCAACAGTATTTAAAATTTTATAATTAAATTTGAATTCTAATACATTTGTTTCATATCTACAAGAAAAATTCTATATGATATATATATTACGTATTATATCTTCAAAAAATATAAAAGAATTATTATTAAAGAGTAAAAATTAAAAACAGACATAAATTTAAATAACTTATCATGCCTTGTCATGTTGATACAATTGTAAAAATAAATCAAATTCGTCAAACTTACAAATATAAAACTAAAATAACAATATATGCTACTGGTACTTATCCTATTAAAAGCAAAGATCATAAACTAGAAATAGTCTTATTCATTCCAATAAATGATGAAGAAAAAGATCCTAACACACAATCAGTTTTTGAAAAAAATGAGTTTTATTGCGTTAGTGAAAAAATTGTGTTTGCAAACTTTAATAGCAGCTTAAAACTAAAAGTTATATAAATATAATTTAGAATATAATATAAATTATAAATATTTATATATTTTTATTAAATTTAAATGACAATTGTTTCTTCAACCCATCTCACACTCAAACGAGACCTTGGTTCGAACAGATACCCTTTGAAAGCTTCGCTTATAGATATTATGCAAGATATGCCAACAGAAATCAATGATGAAAATGCAATAATTAATGTGCTAATTGAAGATTATATTCTAGTTATATTGTAATTAATAATTAATCATTTAATTATTACAAACAATGTTAACTGTAAGATTTTATTTATTATTTGGTCTAACTAGAATAAGAATTCTATTTTGCTTTTCTTTTTTATATCTTACCTGTATTTATATGCTTATACATAATTACATTATATAATCATCATTAATTATATATTGATAGTTTATTTTAACTTTATTATAGTTCTTGTTCTGTATAGTTATTTTAACTTAGATTGTTGCTCTTGTTCTGGGTTATTGTCACTTATGCAACAAGTATTTGGGATTCAAAAATAAGAATAGCCACATCCAAGTATATATTTCTATCATATTAGATGATTATTTTCAATTAATAATATCAAAAATATATATTTTTGTATATTTACAATATATTAAATAGTATTTATTTTATGCACTATTTTTTGATTATTCATGTTTAATGGGCTCATTATATTTTAAGGTTTATTCATCATAGAAATTTCAATATTCATATTTCTATTTATTAATATTAGATCACATAAGTAGTTGTTTAGTTATTTTTTAACATATTTCAAAATGTTCAAGTTTTTTCTTAAGATTAGTATCAATAATAATGTCAAGTTTAGATTGGTTAAATAGTAGAGAATTTCATATCTTCTAGTCTTTGTATTCAGGATAACATAACATTAACATCTATATTTGTATTTCTACCATTTTGATTGATGATTACTTTTTTTAGAGTAGCACTTTGACATTTGAATTCTGTGAATACAAAAGCTGGTATAATCGGTAGTTGTATTCTTTCGTTATATTTGATCTATCTTTTATTTTATGTGTGTGTTTGTATTTTCATTTAATAGCACAAATTAGTATATGATTTGGAGGA